TCTCAGAACACAAACATGCATGGCAACTGGTAAGGAACTTGTTGGGATCGGAGAACTGATAGCCCTGTGTTTCGAGACTGAGAGGAGGTTGGGAAAGGACCATTGCTTTCCAGATGCATTTGAATGTGAGGAACATACTAAGAATAGGTGTTTCCACAGCCATGAGAATATTTGGCAAGAAGTAGCAATAGGTTCCTAAAAATTAAGGCAACAAAAAACAAATGTTTTCTCCAAAAAAATCATATAAAACAGAGGGAGGAAAAGGCTGAGAGAAATCCAATCATGGTTTACAACTTGGATGGGCAGTGAACAGTTAGTGCACCGTCACAGCCGTGGAGGTTCAATGTGGATTTAACTTAATTGTGATATGACTTATTGGAGATGTTGAAGGGCAGAATTCTCCACTGTGGTCCAGGCCTTTGCTCCCTGCCGCTGTTCCTACTCACTGTTGTAGAACATGACTTTAGCCCCTAACTCTTTCTCCCCTTCCCCCTGCATAAATCCAAGTAACCCAAACAATGGCTGATAACCTTTGAAAACAATTTCTCTGTTTTCTTTTTTAGAGTATTTTTTTAAGATGTATTTATTTATTATGTATACAGTGTTCGGCCAGTGTTCAGACCAGAAGAGGGCACCAGATGGTTGTGAGCCACCATGTGGTTGCTGGGAATTGAACTCAGAGCTTCTGGAAGAACAGCCAGTGCTCTTAACCCCTGAGCCATCAATCCAACCCTGAAGACAAATTCCTCTATTTTCTAAAAGGTATTCTCGAACTGTATCTGAAGGCTGTTTCAGGTACTTTGGCTAATGTCCTATAACAACATTTAGCTATCTTTCTCCAGACTAGATGCTGATAGAAGCTTTCATGCTGAGAGAGGAGGGGGGGGGGGGGAGAGCACACGCCAAAGAGAATATGTGGAGGTCAGGGGCCAGCCAAAGGAGTTGGTTCTAGCTTTCCATCTTGTTTGAGGCAGGGTATCTTGTTTGGCCATTGTGCTGTGTGTTGCGGACCCTAGGGCTTTCTGGGAATTCTCCAATCTCTGCCTTCCACATCCTTCCATGGGGTTATAAACACATGCACCACCAGTTCTGGCTTTACGTGGCTTCTGGGGATTGGAACTCAAGTCTCCAGGCTTACAAGGTCAAGTGTTTTTGCCCACTGAGCCATGTCCTTGGTCCCAATGTCTGTCATTATCAGATAAAGATTTTACTAATGAGGATGTAGTTGAGTTTCATCTACAAACTATATTGCAAAAAAATGGAGGAAGTGAGTTGGAAGGTGTTGAGCAAGAGAATTAAATCCTTACCCATAATAAGAGTAACTCAGTAGACTATGTCTAAAGCTGTTAAATCAAAACCCAGCAACATAAGAGGATCATTTGGATATAGGAAGGTAAGTGATCAAACTGCTAAAAAACTACAGTGATTATATTTGGGGAGTATGAGTGTTATTATTACAATCTTTTAATGAGGTTTAAATGTTTAAAATTAAATGAACATATTATTTTGATGACAAATTAAACACTATTTCGAACATTGTAATGAAAGTGTGTCTATAAATTCTCTCAACAAAATGATTCTAACTAATAATAAGTAGAAAATTCCCTGGTGCCTAAAGATTGGTCTAGCAGGCATCTAGCTCAGCAGACCCAGAAGAGAGAAAGCTGCAGCCTTGAACATCACTGTAACAGGGAGCAAAATGCACTGCCCTTCCCTGGGCACTCTAGATCCCCAGGGATTCTCTGAGTAAGTCACAGGACTTCTTTTTGCTAAATAGGGTACCTAGTCCTTGCTTAGAAAGGGTCAGTAGTAGGAGCTGGAGACATGGCTCAGCGGTTCAGAGCATAATACTGCTCCTCCAGAGGACCTGAGTTCAGTTCCTAGTACCCACATCAGGAGGCTCACAACAGCCCTAGGACAACTGACTCTTCCGGTACCTGCACTCACATGTGCATACACGCTCAACACAAGCAAACACATAATTAAAAATAAAATAAATCTTTTCTTTTTAGTGTCAATGCTCTAGTCCAGAACGAAGAGCAGAACACCTTTTAGATTCTGGTTATGCAACATGGCTTTCCTTCTGTGTGACCCTCTTTATCCTCAATGTTCTCTTCCACTCACTTTGTTCTGATCTGCTTTCTCCTCACTTAAGACTTCCCTTACAGCTTTACTCTTTCCTCTGTCCTGAACTTCTCCACCACCCCCTCCATCTCCCTCTCACCCGAATTTTCTTGACTGATACCCATCTTCATAAGCCTACCAAGTGACTTACATTTTTGTTTCATTTTCCCAGGTGGTGTAGCTGAAATCATTTGTCTTTCGACTGCAACTTGCCCCCCTGTACAACTGGTCAATATTTCGTATTGCAGTGGCTGAGCTAACCTTGAAGGCAATTTAAGAACTAAACTGGACTTCATTCCAGCTGTTGACTATTATCATAAGTGACTTGAACATTTTCTTCTGAGATTTATAACCAATTCTAGAAAAACCAGACAACTCATGAAGATTCTTTAACCCTAGAGAAGTACAGGTTGAAGTTGAATTTAACTATATATATACACTTTGGGGGGGTGTTGAGACAGGGTTTCTCTGTGTAGCTTTGCGCCTTTCCTGGAACTCACTCTGTAGCTCTTGCTGGTCTCAAACTCACAGAGATCCGCCTGCCTCTGCCTCCCCAGTGCTGGGATTAAAGGCCTGCGCCACCACCGCCCGGCTTTAAATCTATATTTTTCAGATCCCCCAAATGGCACTCTGTATGTGGCTGGAAACATGACTTTACTCAGACTTAGTCTTTGTATTTTCCCTTTTAATACTGTAAGTCTAGAAGCTTTCAAAATTTCCATTCATATGCTACCGATGTGTGAGATCGGTGCCTAGAAATCAAAGAAATCATAGCTGTTGAAGAATTATATCTTGAACGGCACCGACATTTGCTGATGAAAGTGTTAAGTGAGGTACCACTGTTTGTCCCAAATTAGTCTTTCTGAACTAAAACCCTAAGGCTAAATGAGATCGTAGAGAGTTCTATAACCTATTTGTAATCATGACTGGGAAATTTAGGTTCATACAAACCTGTCTTTATTTTAAATGCAGCTTAAATAAGGAACAGCACACACTTCAGCCCAAAACCCCAGCCACATTTCTCCCTAACAGAAGAAGGCCTTTCTTGAAAGTTTTTCCAGGCTTACCACTTAATAGTGGTCAGTCCAAAAATAAATGCAGGAGAGCTTTGCTAAGCACATTCGACAGCCCACCAAACACCAATCAGTGGAGGGCAGGGCTCCGCTTTTCCCCCAGTAACCTCTGCCAGGCCCCCCACCTACATTCTCCGGCTACTAATTAGAAAGCTAATTAGAATTCCAAATTTAACTGCTAAATACAGAGGCTGGTCTGAACCCAGGCCAGGACTCCTTGAGCATCAAACAGCTCCTCTGTCTTCTGTTAGTGTGGGAAGAGAACCGGACCCTCGGGAGTGATGGCCATTTGACTTGTTGGAGGGCAGTGTGTTTACTCTTATTGTCTGAGAGGGAAAGGTCTGAAGCACAGACTGACATTTGAAGGAAAAAAACAAAAACAAAAACAAAAAACCTTAAACCCCACAAAAACATGGCGTGAAGTTTAACTCCTCCAAGGAAAAGAAACATATCTTTTTATGAATTCGGTTATTGCCGTGGCGACCGGAGGGGACATGTTCCCTTTAGGAACAGTTCCTGGTTCCAGCCAGGCAGCCTCTCTCTAAGTGCAGGGCGCCTTCTCTAGTTACCATGGCAACCAAAATTAGAAGGGCTTTTGCAACACTAACAGAAACCATCTCCTGAAGTGCTTCTGTGAATCACACCGAATGCTGATGATGCAAACTGTGTATACGGATTTTCAAACATTTTTTAAAAAAATTCCTTTTACGATAAACAAATACCCGTTTTTACATTCCCGTTTGAAATCGTAACTTGGGACGAATTTTCGTTCGTCTGGTTTTGTTTGTTTCCCTTTGGATGCCCCAGGCCCCATAGTGCAAACGCGATTTGTTTAATTTCCAAACTTGTCTGAATTACACGATGAGCATTTAGAATGTGATTCATTCGCCCTTATTTTGAGATGGGGTGGGGGAGGGTGGGTTTAACATAGAGCCCTCTTGTCTACACTCCGGAGTGGGGGAAACTGGAAAAGGGAGAGGAAGGGTGAGGAAGAGGGAAGAGAGGAGGAGAAGGAGGAGGAGGAGGAGGAGGAGGAGGAGGAGGAGGAGGAGGAGGAGGAGGAGGAGGAGGAGAAGTGGGGGGGGGAGAGGAAAAGGGGGAAAAATCGATCTCTTGGCTTCTCCATCGGACTCTGTTGAGATCCCTTCCCGACTGGACGGACCTCCAAGTCCTCTACCTCCATTGTAACAATCCTGGAGAGATACCCGGGAAGAACAAGGAAGTTCCTCCTGACTTTGTTGGATCTTCCCAAAGCACCATTCTCTAGGGGAGGATTCCGGTGGTGCGTGGTGTCCTTGAGGATTCGTGCCTCCCCCTTCCCCGGGCCACACCCGTGAGAAGTTGGGTCCACTGCTAATCCAGGTCACACAGGTGCTCAGCCCTAGTCACAAACTTACAGATTTGGGCTGGCGCCTGCGGGCCAGAGAACCGCTGTGTGCACACGGGAGGCGCTCGGCTGCCCTCTGGCTCACGTGTGGGCGCGCACACAGACACGGGTGACCGCACCGTACCCACAGAGGGGGTGCACACGAGCGCCCAGACCAGGGCCCCGCACACAGGGATGGGAGCCCGCGCCCTGGTGCCAACGTCCCCATATTCAGCTTGCTGATTGACCCGGTGGACGTCCCCAGGAGCGCTTAACCTGCTCCCTAACCCCACTTCACCGCCACCGCGGATCAGAACTTGTGTCTCCCTTTCTCCCTTGCGGTCCTGGAGAAGTGCCTCTTTCTAACCATGCACATCTGCAGCCTGGGGGGTGGCCAGGCTCGCCTGACCCCAGCGCTGGCTCCGAGCCCCGCTTACCTCAGTCGGGAGGCCGCCTGGGGAGCTCGCTGTGCGGCCCGCCGGGCTAGGCGCGCAGAGTGGCAGGCGCTGGAGCAGGCTCGTGGGTGTCCCCGGGCGCAGACGTCTGGGTCTCTCTCTCTCCTAAGGCTCTGCGAGCCGTGATGAGCAGCAGATCTGACCCACAGGGCCGTGGCAAACCCAGCTGCCTGTCGGCTCCAGGCTCCGCCACCAGAGCCCAGTGCCCCTCAGCGTCCAGAACAGGACCAATCCCGAGCCGGGGGCTGGCTCTGGGGAGCCGGGAAAAGGAGACTGGATGGCCACCGCCGCGCGACGCGGGCCCGGACCTGGCAGGCTGGTTTCTATGGCAGCCAGGAGGGAGGAGCGGAAGGGAGGGGAGTGTGTAGTTGTGTGGCACGGGGGGGGGGGGGGGGGGACGGGGGGAAGGGACACCCACTGCAGACTTTCCGGGAGGGGGTTCGGGCCTGCTGCACAGTGGAGATCCCTCCTAGAGCGAGGGATGGGAAGCAGAGACGCAGCAGAAAGCGAGTCAACGGGAACACCTTGCCCAAGCAGCTCCTGCGCGCTCTCGACCCAGCCTTCCCATCCCTTGCCTCTAAATGACCGCGACACAACCCTGTAATCCTTCCAGCAGAGCAGGGGCTTCCAGCCAAGCACCGCGCGCGCGACAGACAGCTCCTCCGGGTGAGTCTGGGAGGGCTTAAGCTCTGCAGAAAGAAGCGCTCCTGTCACCCTCTGCCTGGATCCCCTGTACACGTCAGGCCTCGTTCTCATGGTGCGGCTACGTCCGGGGGGGGGGGGGGGCGGGAGGGGGGAGCTGTCACCTGTCTGCTCCTGACTGTGATACGCTAGCTGGTGGTGGGTGCCAAATACTATTTCTCTAGTTTATAAACAAGGACGCCGAGTGACCGGATTGAGTGCAGAGCTGGGAATTTGACTCCGGGGTCACAGAACGTTAGAAGATAACTCCTGGAGTTAAAGTGCTTGATTTAATAGAGGAGGAAACGGATTTCAGAAAAATCAGTCAACTTGACGAGTCTCACACACAGTTTAATGGCCAAGCCAGACCTAGGAGTCTTAAGTTGAGTTCTGGGAGCAATTTGTCCAAGTGCTCTTACTGCCCACCCCAAGTATTCCTGAATGCCAGGGCAAAATTACAAGAATCAAAACAATCTACATCTAAAATCCTGATGAGGCAGAAACTGGGGGACCGGAAGTTTTTTGTTCTTCTATTTGCCAGGCACTGTATTAAATAATTTTACAGTTTAGCGCCTCACACCAATCTGAGTTAGGTTCTGGTATTACCATCCTGTTTTAGCAGAAAAAGAAACTGAAGCAAAGACAGACATAGGACCCACTCGACAGACAGACATAGAACTGACTCGACATCCTGAAGTTGCACGACGCTGGGGCCGGGACTCCAGATTTAGTCAAGGCCTTTCCTTCCTGCCTCCGCCTCCTGTGTGCTCCTTAAAGAGGTCAGAAACAGTATGGCCAAGACAGAAAACCTTGGACAGCTCCATGCACTGGCCAGCGCAGGGAAGCCAGGACCCCCAGAAGGACTGCTTCCACAGCCTTCTCGACCGCTGGTGAAAGATAAGGGTTCTCTGTCCACAAAACTAGGACTCTTAAAGTACTGCATGCCGCCACCAGCCTGTTTTCTTTCTAAAACAATAAGATGAAAGATAAAGTATCACATTAAAAAAAAAAAAGATTTGAAGGGCCCCTTTGAGTCTTGAAACATGCCAGTACACGGGATAACATTTTTTTTAAATGGGAAAATTGTATAGAAAACCTGGACCCTTAAATCCCAGGCCAGACATACAGGCACAGTGGCAAAACCCTCCCACCATGCTCCCACAGGGCAAGGAAAACGTAGAATCGGTCAGAAACTGCTTCTCAGTTGTGCTTGCCGGACTTCACCCCACCAGCCCCTTGCATTCTCAATGTTCTTTGAGCTGTCATGCCAGAGTCTCCTCTTTCCAAATCAGACCCGTCTTTTCCCTTGGCACTCTGGGATTCCTCAGTCAAAGAAGAGGGGAACACATTTGATTCCCTTAACTTGAAAAAAAAAATGTTTTCTCCTACAAAGTCCGTTCAATAGTAGGGTGATTACACTACAATATTACAATATGCAGAGCTCTGACTTGTTCTTTTTTCTTTTCTTTCTTTTTTTTTAAGATAGCACCTTGGTGTGTAAGACAGGCTGGACTTGAACTCAAGGAAATCCTCCAGCCTCGGTCTCCCAAAGATTTGGGATTACAGGCATGTGCCACCACACCCAGCCTTTGGGAAATTCAGGAAACATTTTGTACATAGTGAGTGAGGAAAAGCTTGAAAGAGAAAGGACAAGTCTTTGATGTGTGTCTGGAAATGCACCTCGCTGCCGGGAATTGCCAGTGACCTGAAAGTTCTTCTTAACCTCTCCCAGGATTCTTTTTTTCTTTTTCTGCAATGGGCATATCCTTTATAAAAAGTATTTGCTAGAAAAATAGTTTTCAAAAGAATTTGTGAAACTAAGCCCCTATTGTCAATGTAGGCAGGTCCGTGATTCTTGAGAAGCTCAGTGAAATGTGGTTTCTAGGGGCTGGAGAGATGGCTCAGTGGTTAAGAGTGCTGGCTGCCCTTCCAGGGGACCCGGGTTCAATTCCCAGTGCCCACGTGGCAGCTCACACCTGTCCGTAACCCCATCTCTAGGGTTTCTGACATCCTCACACAGAATATATGTAGGCAAAACACCAATGCACATAAAATAAAAATAACTTACACATTTTAAAAAAAGAAATGTGGTTTGTGACCCTTTCTTCCCTGTGTCAGCTTGAACACGGGTGATACTAACATACAAGAGACCTGGGCTTTTCTTTAAGAAATACTGATAATGGCCGGTCGGTGGTGGCACACACCTTTAATCCCAGCACTCGGGAGTCAGAGCCAGGCAGATCTCTGTGAGTTTGAGGCCAGCCTGGTCTACAGAGGGAGTTCCAGGAAAGGCGCAAAACTACACAGAGAAACCCTGTCTCGAAAAACCAAAAACAAAAACTGTATCTTGTCATCTAGCTCTACTCCTTACTAACTGGTGACACCTTTGATGTCAAGCATCCCTTAGCTTCAGCTCCTGTCTGTAATCTCAGAACTGGGAGAATTGGTGAGATAACATCCCTAGCAACAGTGGACTACATTTTACTAATCTGGTCAGGAAGCTTGGGAAGTTGGGGGATGGGGATCAGTGGCTAAGTGGGCTACTTTCACCAGTGTCTAAGGAGTTGGGATCCAGGTGTGTTCAGAATTCTACTTGTTTGTGCGCTTGTTATTCAAGGAGAAATAGGGCCATTCTACTCTCATTTCCCGGTTATTAAGTCACCCAGGACACCACACCCATACTGAATTTGAACCTGGCCATTTTGGGGAGGCACCCCACCTCTAGTTTTCCTTCCTCCTTCCCTCTTTGGTGACACTTGACAAATCTTAGAAGAGAATATGGACTTCTCCTTCAAGTCTGTAAACTATTATTACATAGTGAAATCTGCAGCTCAAAATGGTGCGGCCTGTCTGGAGAAATCTTGTTTCAGATCCGGGTACAACTCAAATCTGAGAAATTACAAAATTCAACAGTATCTTTGAATGGAAATGACATTGTCTTAGTTTGGGCTGTATAATCAGTTGCCTTAGACATGTTCTTATCAATAGCTCTGCAGTTAGATAGACGTCTGAGCTAAGGGGGCCAACATGATCAAGTTCTGGAAACGGCAGTTTAATGGGCTGCAGACTGCCGGCTTCTCATTGAATCCTCAGGGCGGATCAGAGAGTGTGCCGGAGTCTCTTGTTTAACTTTATTCTTGTCTACAAGGTTAACTCTACACTAATGACCTAATTATCTCCCAGAGGCCCTCCTCCTAATACCAGCAAACTAGGAACTGTGATTTCAATGCATGGACTGGGGGTGGGGAATGTGAACATTTAGTCCATCAGATCCCTTCCCAGTATATTTCCCCCCTCTCAGAATCTCCTGGTGGACATTAGATGTACCAGATCCTCTCCTTCTGTCATGTCTTCTGTGGCCTTTTGTCTTTGTGTGACATTCTAGGTAACTGCTTCATATGCATCTGCTCTTTCTCTAATTATCACTTGAGTCATAGCTAGTCAGCCGTCCAGCCTGGCAGCCTTTAGTACTTGGAGAATGGAAACAGAGCTAAGCCCGGGAGGGAAGTGTCCACGAGCCTTCTTCTGCATTTTCTCGGAAGGGAGACAACTGAGGCATAGGACTGAATCACTTTTTCATAACAATTGGTATTTATGAATGCTGTTTGTTCTTTAACTTTACAAGAGCCTTTTAAGAATAGTGGGCCAGGCATGATGGTGCATGACTTTAATCTCAGCACTCCAGAGGCAGGGGCAGGCTGATGATCTCTGTGAGTTCAAGACTAACCTAGTCTACAATGCAAGTTCCAGGCCAGTCAAGGCTACAAGAAGAGGGCCTATCTTGAAAACAAAACAACAAAAAAAATCCTACTAATGCTGTAGTAATGAGGCATTTATCTGAAGTATACCATAATTTTGTTCCTTTAAAAAATTAATTTATTTTGCTTATTTGGGGAGCAGCAGTTATGCATGCCAAGGTGCGCACATGGAAGTTTGCACAAAGGATAGCTTGTAGGAGTCAGTTCTCTTCATCAGTAGACTAGGTGGTTCCTGAGGATTGAACTCAGGTGACCAGGCTGAGCCATCTTGTCAGCCCTGTTTTTGGTTTTGTGATAGCCAAATCCAAGCAAAAGTCAACTGAAGAATTCAAACAACTGCAGTAATCCTATTTTTACAAAGTTCTCCCCTGTTCTCTTCTCTCCTTCCTCCTCCTTCTCCCAGAAATATCTGGAATGATTTTCACCTAATGATAACAAATTACCCCTCCCCGCCCCCCATTTTTTCAATACAAGGTCTCTCTGTGTAGCCCCGGCTGTCCTGGAACTCGCTCGGTAGACCAGGCTGGCCTTGAACTCACAGAGATCTGCCTGCCTCTGCCTCTCAAGTGATGGAATTAAAGGAGTGTGCCGCCGCCGCCGCCGCCGCCACCACCACCACCTGATTGATGGGTTTGGGGTGGTTTTATTTTATTTTTTTTTTCTCATTCTAAACCATGTGACTTTTACTTTAGCAAATGTAGTTCAACAACCACAAAAAGAAACAGTTGAGGACATCAGTGACTAAGAGGCTACTAACTCTATGCAAGCTTTAATTCTATTGATATTCCAGGAATTCTTTTATTTTAAAAAGGGGCTGGAGAGATGGCTCAGTGGTTAAGAGCACCGACTCCTCTTCTGGAGGACCCAGGTTCAATTCTCAGCATCCACATGGCAGCCAACAACTGTCTGTAACTCCAAGATCTGATACCCTAACAAACAAACAAACAAATAAATAAATAAATGTTTTGTGAGGGGTGGTGTACATAAATGAGGAGGCCAGAGATCAGTGTTGGGTATTCTCAGTCACACTCCACCTTATTGAGACAGCATTTCCCATTTACTCTGGAGCTCCAGTTCCACTGGAATGGCTAGGCACGCCCCTGGGATGCTCCTGTCTCTGTCTCACAGCTAGGATGACGGGACATGCTGCCATGCCTGGCTTTTTACATGGATGGTGGGAATCTAAGCTCAGGTTTTTGAGCAGTAGGCACTCTACCTGCTAAGTGATCTCCCCAACCCTGGGTGTTTACTTTGGCTGCCCTGACTTCTAGTTTTAATTTACTTCTTAATGGTTAACACTGAAATTTCTTCCTAAAATTAAAATACAAGTTAAAAAAATAGAGGAAAAAACCCTGATACTGAGAAAGGGCATGCTAATTACTGTAAAATTTGAATTGTTTCCATCCTCCCAGTTGTAGTAACTATACTTCGAACTTCTCTTTATTTCTGTGCTGGGGGATTGAACCCAGGACCTTTCGGCATAGTAGGCAAGCACTCTCATCATGGAGTTTGTAACCCCAAGCTCTCAAACTTTCCTTCAACATGAAGCCAAGTATGCTGATCAGTGTTGCAGGGGAACCAAGCTTCCCTTTTGAGTTCTTAGTCCTGCTAAATAGCTTAAAGAGACAATTTTATTAGTTTGTAGTTCTCAGCGGCTGCCGGGACAAGGGAGATGGAAAAGAGAGAAGAAGCTGTGTCTTTTGAGTTTAGGTGTGAGAAATCCGGCATGGTTAGCAATGGAAGCTGGCAAGCAGCTCCACTGTAGAGAGGACTTTAGTAAGAGAGAGAAAGCCCAGAATGCCAGGAGAACATACTTTGGCTTTGGGTCAATATCCAAAAGAAAGATGAGAAGTTACGCTTTTCAGGGTTAGAAGCCTAAACCGGAGGCTTAGCAGCGCCACCATGAGGTAAAGCCGTGTGAGCGGCCGCGCCAAGCGTCGGCTGGGAAGGGGAAATGGGCTAACTATTCCTCCCATCTCTAGCGAGGTTCCAGGCGAATCAGATTTCCTTGGGGTGGATTTCTGAACAAGTGACTGCCAGGCTCACCTGGAGGTGATAGCAATGCTCTCCTCTTTAGAGCAGATCAGGCCATGTTTCCTAACAGAGCCAGTGGTATTCCCCTTTCTAGGAAGGGGCAATCATTGATTTCCTTCCTAATGTTGGCAGGGGAATGGGAAGTGGGGTCTCAAGTGCTGACTGTGAGGGAGGGGTCGGCCCTCAAAGGCTTCCAAGGCCACTAGTCCCTATCTAGCTACCTGACATTCCCTCAAGAGCTGAGACCTTAAAATCCTCTCAGAGACAGGCAGAAACTGGGAAATAGTGTAACCCATTTCCACCATGAAAACCCAGAGACCCAGTTCCAAAGCTGCTCGCCAGGAGGGTTCAGTGACTAGAATTTCAGTCACACACTCAAGCATGGCTTCCAGGCAGAAGTGCTCATTTAAGAAAGCAGGATAGCCGGGCGGTGGTGGCGCACGCCTTTAATCCCAGCACTCGGGAGGCAGAGCCAGGCGGATCTCTGTGAGTTCGAGGCTAGCCTGGTCTCCAAAGCCAGTTCTAGGAAAGGCGCAAAGCTACACAGAGAAACCCTGTCTCGAAAAACCAAAAAACAAACAAACATAAAAGCAGGGTAAGAAGAAACCAGAACTCCTTTCTGTATTCCTGGCTGGTCAGGACAGAACCAAGAACATTTCTAGCTTCTGGCCAACAAGAAGAATTAGGACAGTTAACTTTTGGGATCCCTGTGCCTAAACCTGCCCAACTCATTTCATATCATTTTGTGATACTTTCTTATAAATGACATTGGATATTATTTAAATTCTGGCTATAAGAGAGCCACCTCTTATGGTTTTAGAGCAACACACTTCTAAGCTTCCCACTAAAGAATTTCATTAATTGCTGGCGAGCAGGTTTAGTCTGGCACCAATTCTCATTTGAGTCCATTATGACAAGAGTTACAGCACAGTTGAGCACATTACACATGACATACATTTTACCTAGGTCTCTTTCTCCAAATCTAATTAACATAACGTTATCGTTGATGACTTCAAAGGCTAACCTTTCATTTCCCACCCACATCAGTTATAAGTCTTTCAAGGGAACTCCTTAATGACCTCACATTGTCACTAAAGACAACTCATGCTAAACTGCAGATATAAATTAAAATCTACTGTATAAATGTCTTCTGAACTTAGAATAACCCTTTGGCCTTACCAGCCTGTACTAGTGAACTGACTACTGGCAGGGGACCATGCTGAGGTCATCAGAGGAGCCGATCATAACAGCAGCCTAACTATCAGCCTCACAGAATCCCTGAGGAAGCAGCGGTGGCTACAGATAGAATTGAGTTCAGGGACCAAAGATGGATAACTGTATCAGTCCAAGTTCTGGAAGCTTCAGATAAGGGAGCTCAGAGGTTGGTGAAGGTATCAGTATGCTGGAGGAGGCAAACAGAACACAAAACTCCACATCCTCACTCTAATTATTCATCTCTTCTGTCCCTGAGCTGCATCCTTTCCCATCCTGCAAATGTTTCTTGGCTTCTGGGGTGTTTTAGGGCACTACTGAACTCTGGGGTGGGGTTCACGGAAACACCCAATTCACAGTTGGCTGAGCATGAACGCTTATAGCCAGTTGGCTATATGTGTGTCTGTGTGAAGGGAGGGCAGTGTGACTATTTTCAGTTGAACACATTGTCAACTTCAGACGACTCAAGTTAGTCTGAAGATGTAAATTAAATGTAAAGCATTTAATTTGGGGGATTCTGCTCTGAGACTGCGTAATCAGAACTGAATCCTGGACACCTACTTGGTTGTTGTCTGAGAACTGCTGTTCAATGAGCAGGGGAGACATAAGCTCTATAATGCAAAACACTGATCTGCTACCACACTCAAGACCTAAGCCCCAGTGGGAATTGAGTGGAAAAACACTCTAGGAATGTACCCAATTTACTACTTGGAGCAATATATATATACATATATATGTATATATATTTATATTTATATTTTGGTTTTTTGAGACAGGGTTTCTCTGTGTAGTTTTGGTGCCTGTCCTGGATCTCGCTCTGTAGCCCGGGCTGGCCTCGAACTCACAGAGATCCGCCTGCCTCTGCCTCCCGAGTACTGGGGTTAAAGGCGTGCGCCACCACCACCCAGCTATATTTAAGAGCTTGTTACATGCAAAATATTCTGCAAACTACAAAGCACTATCCATCCAACAGGTCAGTGCTAGTGAGCTGTACTCCTCAATGTTTCCAGTCAAATCCAGCTGCATCCTGAACATGCCAGTCTTTTGGGAAAAGGAATGTGAGTTCTAGCTGCCCCTCTCATATGCCAAATATGGAAGCTCAAGGGATACTTTTAACACTTTGAAATGCCTTTGCCTCCGATCTATTTTATGATCACAACTCTTCAAAGAGGACTGTGCTTACTTTCATACCTTGGCTTACTGCTTACAACATTCAAAATTCACTAGACACTCGTTGGTAATTTACATGTTTGAGGTCATGATCTGCCAGGGTTAAAACGTATAACCACACCCACAGGTCATCCTAAAACACAGGTTGTTATAACTTCTCAAGATTTTCTAACTTCAAGGAAAATATGAAATTTGTAGTAGGTACTCAACTGCCAAACACAGCAAACATACTTAAGTTCCTACTACCTGTCTCGAGCTTAATATAAACAACTTTCATATTCCTATCTTAATCTGTCAACTTGAGTGACATAGAACACCTCTTCAATATGCTTTGTGATGTGTTACCATTTAATGCCATGATTAGCAAAAGTGTTACTTGAACTGATCCCTTAAACTTACACTTAAGCTGGGCGGTGGTGGCGCACGCCTTTAATCCCAGCACTTGGGAGACAGAGGCAGGCGGATCTCTGTGAGTTTGAGGCCAGCCTGGGCTACAGAGTGAGTTCCAGGAAAGGCTCCAAAGTTACAGAGAAACCCTATCTCAAAATAAAAATAAAAATAAAATAAAAAAAACTTACACTTAAAAAAGTAGAGAAAATTGTTTAAAGTAGGCACCACTAAAAAAAAATACCACTTCTTGTGCTACAAGTTAAGAACTACAAGTAACTTGTGTCTTTGTCTTTTTAGCTAACTCTTGGGTTAGGAAGTATGTACTAACAATCTCGTATCTTAATTCATTGATGAGCCATGTTACTACAGTCACAAAAATACACCAAGTATCTCCAACCAAACTGGCAATTAAAAAGATCAGAGGGATGGCTGAGTGGTTAAGAATGCTGGCTGTTCTTCCAGGGGACCAGGTTTGATTCCCAGTACCCATGTGGCAGTTCACAACCGTCTCTAACTCCAGTTCCAAGAATCTTTTGGCTTCTGAAAGTACCAGGTATGCACTTGGTGCACATACATACAAGCAAAGCACCCGCACACATAAAATAATAACGAAATAATTAAAAAGAAAAGAGTCACAAACACATAATTTTAAAGTTTACTTTAAAATGTAAATATCTCCCAGTATTTAACAGGTAAAGAAAATAGCATATTGATTTTGTGGTTGTTATATTTTTATTTTCCAAGTAATACTGATTAAAAATATTTACACACCTACTTTTAAGTCCACAGTTTAGCACTCTTATTTGTATGGCTTTAAAAGTTATAGCACAAAATCTTTACATTAAGGATTGGGGGAAAAGATTCCATTCAAAACAAAGCCTGATATATTATATACATACTTTTCCTCTGTACTTTATTTTAAATACATTAATTTTAAAATGATGCTCATCTAACTGTTTTTTTCATCTGGTGGTAAAATATTAGTGCAACTTCTCATCAAAATAAAGTTTACCACAGATGTAAATGAATTTTTCCAATTGAAAATGGCCCTTCAGCTGCCGTTAAATGAAAAATTCTCAATGTAACTTAAAGGAAAAAGAATTGGTAGTTGTCCTTAAGCAAAAAACACCAAGTATCAGAGCAGTTTATACTGCTCCTTAAAACACACTTTCAGAGAAGCAGAGGTGTTTTACCGAAGGAGTTTTGTTGGTTTTGAAAAGGCACAAGGGTGGTTTTTTTGTTTGTTTGTTTGTTTTTTAAAACATTCTAGGAATTCTGCCACTACCATTTGTTTTGGAGACAGCATTTGCAACCACTGGACAGACAAGAAGGTTGTTCAAAATAAAGCCAGCCAGACCCCAATGTTAACTGCACAGTAACAATGCACGTCCCTCATGCAGCCTGTGTTGCCTACATTACATACTCGATTTCCTAACATGCATTAGAATACAAAGAGATGTATTCTAATGGTTTTATGTATGGTTTTATAAGATGCAAAGAATTTAAGGGAGGACATGACCTGGGGAAGAGAATACGGAGACCCTTACCACAATGAAAATAGATGCATTCGTACCCAACTATATAATAAGAATATAATTCATTTAAGTTACCAGAAATATACTTCTCAAAGCTTTCACTCATTATGAGAAATATTCCCTCTCTGTGGCATTAACTGGAAGGAAGGACATCAGTCTGTTTCCATAGAAACAGTTCAGCACAACAGGAAATAGTATAACTTTGGTCCACTTATCTGATAGCTTAAGGTCACACTGCCCATCAGTTTACCCCACATGTAAATTTAAAAATAATTGTTCTTTCATTCTAAAACTGGCACAGACGTCCTGTCATCCTCTGCTTCTCCAGCTTGGGAACACTCTCCTGGGGTGGTCTCTAGCCCCTCAGCATCTTCGGAATCTTCCATGGCAGCCTCAGCAGCATCTGCATGGCTAGGCTCGCTCTCCTCTTGGCTCATGATTTCGGGGGTCATGTGATCCAAGTCAGCTTCTAGAAGCTCAGTTTGTACTTCAACTGGCATCTGGTTTACCCGTTCAACATGCAGCTCCTCCACATGCACCTCTGTGCCTTCTTCAGTCTGAATCCGACCCACTTCCAGATAACTCACTTGGACCTGCTCTGGAAGCTCACTCATGTGTGAATCGTGCACTTGGCCGTCCTGGAGCAGATCTGGATGGACCTGTTCCACAGTTACTTGTGCTGAATCCACCTGGACCTGAAGCAGCGGTAATACATGCACCTTCCCAACTTGTTCTATAATAGTCATTGACGTCACTGGTTCAGTCTGTACATGTGTTTCCACTGAAAGAACCTCTTCAGTCACTATACGCTCTGAAATATTGTGAGCATCACTAAGATGCCTCCTTAATTCATTTCCTTGCATAAACCACAAGTCACATAGAGTACAATGGTTGGGTTTATCTCCAGTGTGAATTACCAAGTGATCTTTGAACTGGTCCCAGCTGTTAAACACACTGTTACAGACCTGAAATCACCAAATAGAGGATGTTAATAATACTTATACCAAACTGAAGTAAATGTGAATACATTATCCTCCATCAAAACAATACTAAGGCGTTGAAGTTAGCTAAGTGAAGAACCTGCCAAGCACAAACACAAACAAGGCACTACACCAGCTCTAATCCTGAGCATTGATAAACAATGACCAAAAAGAAAAAAACCCACAAAGAATATACTACATGGGCTGAATGTATAGCTTAGTAGTAAGAGTATTTGCCTAACATACGGGATGCCCTGGGTTTAATCCGAAGTACTGAAAAACAAACAAAAAAAACCCATAAAACACTACCATCCATCCTGGTAAACTGAGTGTTACAAAAATATTCTGAATATAGTTTCCAGTGTACCTAGTGCAAAGCTATTTCACACACTTGGTTTCATTTGCTCTCTCAGCCCATACAACTAACAATTTACTAGATTCTGGAAACATTTTAGCATTGCCCCCATTAAGTATCAAATATAAAGTAACAATATCATGGTTTCTCCCACAGCTTCAAGATTTAGACCCACTACATTATTTGGGACAAAAATATACTAATCATGGAAGACACAGCTGTATCTTGTCTGCTTTCTCTGTCCCTCTCCCAGACGCTAATGGCTATTCCTATGGTTAAGAATACTAACTAACCGTGGACAGGTGAGACAGCTCAATGGCAAAGGCGTTTGCCACCAAGTCTGAGTTTCACCTCCGGAACCCACAGGGTGCACAGAGGATAAACTCCTGCAAATTGTCCTCTGACCTTCAAGCACTGCAGCATGTGTGCCCACTGCCAATAAGTAAATAAATAGAAACACCCAAACCAATTATTCCCAAAAACAGGTGTAGTGGCACATGCCTGCGCATGAGAAGATTGTAATTCAAGGTCATCCTTGCTACATAGTGAGTTTGAGGCCAGCCTGGGCTATGACAGACTGTCTTTAAACCTGGGCATCCGTAAGCACTACTGTAGTTTCAGACTGCTATTTAGGACAATTGTTATTAACACTGATCTAGGGTTTAATAAAAACAAACAACAAAAATATTCTAATAACCTGCCAGGTGGTGATGGCACACGCCTTTAATCCCAGCACTCGGGAGGCAGTGGCAGGCAGATCTCAGAGAGTTCAAGGCCAGCCTGATCTACAGAATGAGTTCCAGGACAGCTAGAGCTGTCACAGAGAAACTCTGTCTCAAAAAAAAAGAAAACATGCCCCCCACCCAAATTCTAATAACCCATACAAAGTAAATAGCTTTTTATTTATTCCCAAGTCTTTCCAAGGTTCTATGTGCTGATGATACTCCGAGTTGCATGGTGATTCACCACTGCACTGTAGTATCCAAAGTGCATTTACTGCACCTAACCTACCAGACACTACAGTAACACAAACAGGCATGTCCAACCCTTTGACACTGCACTGTCACCTACAAAGTTCACATTCAGGAGCTGTGCAAGTTAAAAATAAAACAAAAAAACCCTCCGTGTCGAAGAATTTTACAATTTTGTTTTTGTCCGTATTCATAGCTGTTCTGAAGCCACACAATGGAGTCAGCCAGAGTATCTGTTTTGTTTACTACCATAACTGCATGGTTAACCGGAAGCCGAGGCTTGCTGCTGCCCGGTGTCGTAAGAGAACGTTCTACTGGGCATCACTGATTCAGGAAAAGGTCAGATTTCAAAATCCCAAGAGGGGTTTTTTCTATTGAACACAAAATGCTCTCTGCACTACTATCAAATCAGGAACGTCTAAGTCACCCTTGTGAGCCAAGGACTATTTACTCTGCACTTCTAAGAACTGCACACTAGTTCCTTTTGTGAGAACAAAATACACCCACACATACCTGGCATTCGTAAAGCTTCTTCCTTCCCTTTTTTGCCCCTACTCCAGTTTGGCATGCAGTGAGGTGACATTTGAGAGTGCTATTTCTAGCAAACCGCTCATGACAATTTGAACATTCAAAAGGTTTTTCACCTATTGTAAGAAAAAAAAAAAAAAACATTGATATATTGGGAATATCAGCAAACCCAAGTATAAGAGTTCATCATTTTGGTTATTAATTTTTTTCTTTTTCTTTTGCAGTGCTGGGGACTGAATCACAGGTTTCATGCATGCCAGAAAAATGACCTACCACTGATGCACAGCTGTGGCTAACTTTAAGGTCCTAGTCATCGTCTTCTTTGAAACAGGGTCTCTATTATGTATCTCTGGCTGTCCTGGAACTCGCTCTGTAGACCATGCTGACCTCCAATTCAGAGATGCACCTGCCTCTGCTCCCAAGTGCTGGGATTAAAGGTGTGTAGGTGTGTACCCCTATACCCAGCTCATCTTCATCTTTGTGCATGCGTGCGTGCGTGCGTGCGTGTTTGGTGAAGGGCAAGATTTCCCATGTATACCAGCTGACCTCAAACTCTTATGGTCATTCTTCTGAGTGTGCCTCTGCCTCTCCAGTGCTGAGATTGTAGGCAGGAGCCACCATACATGGGTTTCCTTTTCCCTTTTCTTTTCTTTTTTTAAATAGTCTCACTGTGCTCCCCATGCTGGAATTAAACTTAAAATCTTCCGCCTTAGCCCTCGAGTGCTACAACTATAGGCATGAGTGACATGCCTGACTTAATTAACACATCCTTAAGAAGAGGAACACAATTTATAACTCGTGCTTTAGCACACTTGAAATTATTTTTCCTTAGACAAAAATCATGATCAATCTCTGCTTTATGGAAACAGAATTATCTTTTCCCTAAGATTTTTTTTTTCCTTTTTTGCACTTACCATGTACCTGATCACACTTTAGGTGATGACAATAAAAAAATAAAGACATGAATGCACAGAGCCATAGTCTCAGTACTTAGGAGAGGCTGAGACACAAGATTCTGAGTCTGAGACAAAATCAGGCAAATTCGGGCAACAGGCACTGAAGCACGGTGGTGACTGCCTTTAATCCTGGCACCAGGAGGCTGAGAGGGTAAGTTCTGGGCCAATAAGGGCTACATAGTGAGACTCTGTCTCTAACAAAACTAAAAACAAACAAAAGAATAAGCGGCTGTTTTGAACATTTTCATAAATTCAAAGCACTACAGACTTACTAAAAAAGAGGGTGCTGAGGGATAATGCTGCAGCAGCAGGGTAAAGCGGGGCAACGCTGCCTGGAGCAGAAGGAGCCAAGGAAAGGCCTTTCAGAGCACCCAAGCAGAGCACCGCAGAGACGAGCAAGGAGGGAGTAACTAACTAGGACTCCCGAGTCCCAGGCTCAGCATGCCACCTGGTATCAAGAACCGAGAGTGCAGGCGTTCAGATGAAGTTTGTAGTGGGGATGCAGGAAAAGAGCATGAATTTAGTTTGTTTGCAGAGTAGCACAAAGCCCTGGGTTTAATCCTCAGCACCATAAACTGGGTGTGAAGCACACCTGTTATCTCAGTACTTGGGAGGTGGAGGCAGTTATATCTGAAGTACCAGGTCATCCTGGACAATATATTTATTGAATTCAAGGCCACATGAAACAGAGGCTAGAGATGGCTCAGCAGCTGCTCTTCCAGAGGATCCAAGCTTGGTTCCCAGCACACACATAGCAGCTCACAAACATTTGTTGACTCCAGTTCCAGATCTGATGCCTTCTAGTCTCTGTGTGCACAGAATTATATGCAGGCAAAACTTCCATTTTAAGCCGGGAGGTGGTGGCGCACGCCTTTACTCCCAGCACTTGGGAGGCAGAGGCAGGCAGATCTCTGTGAGTTCAAGGCCAGCCCGGTCTACAGAGCTAGTCCAGGACAGGCTCCAAAGCTACAGAGAGAAACCCTGTCTCGAAAAACCAAAAATAAATAAATAAATAAATAATAAAATAAAAATAATAAATAAATAAATAAAAAAAGAAATAGAATTTTAAAAGGCACTCAAAACAGAGATTCCCAAGAGGTAGTTGTATAGACAAATCTGAAGCCAAATACAGAATGGACTGATATATAGATAAAGGGGTCATTTTCAGTGGCAATGAATACTCCTAAGATGGATCAAAATTCTCAGCGTGTTATATAATTACACAATCCTGAGTAGGCTCACAGAAACCGCAAGTTAAGACAGCAGGTAGATGAGCTAACAGTGGAAAGGGAACTTCCAAATGATACCAAGGAAACTTAGAGTAGTCGGTGGTACAGTGGGACCGGGGCCAGGCTTAGCCAGAATGGAGGGGTTAATGAGAAGCACCACAATAAGAACAGTACAGAGTTCTTTCAAGAAAGCCTACAAGTAGGGTTGAGGATGAGGCTCAGTGGTAGAGTGCTTGTTTAGCATGTACAAGGCCCTGGGTTCAATTTCCAGAAACATACATACACATACTCACTCTTTAAAAAGTGGGGGGGTGGGGGTGGGGATGGGGGGGAGACGGACTGGAAGAGATTTCTAATCAACAAGAAATCACCACCTGTTGACTTTCTGTGGGAGAAGGCAAGGGAAGAGGAAAGAAGGGTTGGAATAAAGATAGACATGGTTCAAACTGTAAGATTCAGCACTGGTCTTTGAAGAAAAAGCAAGGTGTTGGAGGCATGGGTAAAAAGAGCTGTGCTAACTCAAGAGTGGAGGGAAGGGTCTTGAATACACAGCAGGAATCTGGAGAAGCAATAGGAAAAAGACATCAGACAAGACACTACCTTACTTAAGGTCTGAGATGCATTTTCTCCAGCACTTCTCGCTAACAAGGATAAAACACGCGGAGGCCGTTTGTAAATACAAGTAGAATCCTTCTATGCAGGAAAAGATATGACACGGTTCACGTTAGGACGAAGTCAGAAACATGATAAGCTGGTGGGGAAGGAGAGCTGAAGGGTTGGAGTTGAAGGGACAAGAATTGTCAAGAGGACAGGGATTCAAAGACAGCGCGGTGTTTGCAGAGGACAGAACCAGGACATCAGAGGCTTCGCTACCCCTGCAACGAAGACCTTTTGGATATGACCAAAATACTCAAGTTGACTGACACAAGTTACCAAGTCACATGTTCTTCTCCCAATAAAATACAGCTTTTGAAGTTTACACATGATGAAAATATTAGGTAACACGTAATTGTCTAGAATTAATGTTAATATACGAACTCTTTTTAATTCAAGAAACATTAAGATATATGCTCAACAGAATGATTATATTTTATTAGTGTATAATTTTTCACTACCAATGCAATCTATAAGCATAGGCTGTAATGGCCTTTTAGAAAAGACAATGTGAGGAGCTTAGGAAGATGGCTCAGTAAAGTGCCAGCAGTGCGAGCCAGAAGTCCTGAGTTTGGAGCCCCAGCACTGACCTAAGAACCCAGCTGTGGTAAAGCACAGCTGTAACTCCAGCCCTGGAGGTGATATGGTAGTAGAGTGGACACAGGTAGCTCCCTGGAGCAGCCAGCCAGTGGGGGAGCTTCAGGGTCAGTGAGAGACTGTCTCAAAATTAAGGTGGATAAAGACACCTGAAGTTGATCTCTGGCTTCCACAGCACATATACACAGAAGTGCACTTACTCAATGTATGTAACATCCATAAACCCATGCCGACATATACATATGCTAAACACACACACACACACACACACACACAGTGTACACATGTATGCAGAGAGGGAAAGAGGGAGGGAGGGAGGGAAGGGAGGGAAAAAAAGGCAATCTGATGTTTGCCAAGACTTCTTTAGCCGGGCAATTCTGTTCTTAAAAATTAAATTACATAGGCCAGCAAGCCGGCTCAGCACTTGCTGCTAAGACTGCTAAACTTGAGTTCAACCCCTGGAACCCACACAGTAGAAGGAAGGAACCGAGTCCCCAAGGTTGTTCTTTGATCCCACACTCATGTGGTGGCGAGTGCATACAATACATGCAATAAAAAGCCTTTAAAAGTACATCACATGAGCATGTGTATGAAGAGAAATGTACAAGGATGTCTGCAATGTCACATTTGGTAAACTCTAGCAAAAACCTTGTGTTTACTCAGAGCTACAGTGACATGTACTAAAATAGCATGTAGTCACAGCAAAAAAAAAAAAAAAAAAACCAACTGAATCCTTCTAAGTGTTTCATTTGCAATCCCAGAACTTGGGAGGCTGAGGCAAAAGGATCAGCTGGGCTACTTAATGAGAACTTGCTTTAAAAAAAAAAAAAAAAAAAAAAAGAGCGTGAGTCTAAATGAAAGGTATGAACTGCTGCTTGCTCTTTTTTCCCAGAAGTGTGTGCTTACAGTCACTTGATAATGCAAGGAATATGCCTGAAGGTTAGAGGCAAACCCTCTCCACCACTGACCTACTGACCCTGCCCTGCCCAATGGTAGTGCTAGGTGCTTTGTATGCATGACCAAGCAATGCTCTCCAGCTAAGTTATCCCTCTGAGCCAGTAGCTACTTTTTAAGAGATCTATCCTAAGTAGGAATGAATCATTTTCCACTGCATGCCACTTGAGCTGTTTCTATTAAATAATTAGTTTAATAAGCCTGGTGAAATCTAGAAACAGCCAGATGACTTTTCTTGGGGGGATGGGGGGAGAGGGGTCTGAGACAAGGTTTCTCTGTGTAGCCCTGGCTGTCCTGAAACTCGTTCTGTAGACCAGGCTGGGTCTTGCTGCTAAGCACTTGCTCTCTAACTCAGAGATCCACCTGCCTCTGCCTCCCGAGTGCTAGGATTAAATACGTGTGCCACCACTGCCTGGCTTTTTTTTTTTTTAAAGACATGTAGACTATTAGTCTTCAGAGTGCTTCCACCCTCCTCTGTCAGGTCTGTGGGAAGTGTACGAAAAGAAAGGGGCCTCAATATAAAGTGACCCACCATGTTCATCAAACTGGTAATTGTCAAGACTGTAGCCAGAATTCAACTGCGATTTTTGTTTTCTGATTCTCCTTGGAAAGTAGGGAACAACTACTTAAAAACATGCTGAAGTCACCTCAAGGTTCCTTTTCCAAATATATGTCTGTCAAAAGGATCTGGTACTGTCCTTCAGCCCTCACTATCTCTCATCAAATCCTGTGGACCCTGGCAAGTCTATGAACGCAAACCTCTGCCCCCTTCCACTCCTGCCGCCGCTACCAGTTTCCCATTCTTTAGACTCTCCAAAGGATTTCCTCGTCAGAGCCAGCAGGCTTCATTTCCCATCAATCTACGGTGCCAGTCACTGCTCTAAAACAGAAATCTGACCCTTCTGCTTCCACACTGACGCCTACCAGGCAAAGCTCAGTTTGTTTCTGTACTAAATGAACCTACAGTGAGCATATGGCTCTAGAATTTATAACTATAAAGCTAACTAGGTTACTTGTTATCTCACATCCTCTCGAGAGACAGAGAACCTAAGTTCTTAGCCCTATACCCACGGATGAAGTCCCTTCTCAGTGCCCACTTTGGGGCCGGGGGCCTAGCAGTCTCTTGGCACGCCTTTGCTTTGACCGACTCTAGCCATCCTCCTACCTAGTGAGGCCACAACCGGCGTTCCTGTTTCCCTCTAGGACCGGGTCTTCTTTGGCTTGAAAACCCTTTTCCACACTACTTTTCCTGTGAGTCATCATCACTGGAGCTGGATCTTGAGGAACAACCTGTTTTCTGAATCTGATTCCTCAACTTCAATTAGTGTACTACAAGTGACTTTGGGCAGTGAGACAGCTATTTAAAAAAAGGAAGAAAGAAATCAACACTGGTACCAAAGATTCTGAATGGTACATGTACCTATATTCTATTTCAGTATCAACACTCCAGGTCTTACTCATTAAATGTAACGAGACTTGGGCACAACTGTCTAGACTATATGGGGTTGAGAGTATCACTGGTAGCAGGCCCCGTGCTTGACTAAGGAAATCTAGCAAGGAATGCTTGGGGAGTTAAAACAAGGACAAGGGATCCAATGTGTGGGGGAGCGGAGAAACGACACCGAACTATGGTGGCCAAAGAAAGACTTCCTGGGACCTCTTCTAGAGTGGCACAGCTCTTAGAACAAGGAGCACGCCTCACACTAGGAGACACCTTGGCTATCTACTAGTCCTGACATATTTGCCATTTAGAGAGGTAGAGGGTGACAGACACAGGACTATCTTTTTCTGGCTCAAGAATATATTATTACTACTGGAAGTAAAGTGCCTACTGCAGATATATGTGTGTACCCCCCCCACACACACCATGTACAAAGCCAGGAATGGCAGTGTGGGTACATAACCCCAGCATCTGGCTAGGAGTGAGGAGAGAGCGTAGATCCCTGAAGCTTTGCTGACTTGATTAACCTCAGGTGCAGTGAGACTGCCTCCAAAAATAAAGTTGAAAAGCAATATTGAGAAAAGACTCATCCAGCTCTGGCTTCCACACACGCAGGTGCACACCAGGCGTGCCCACATGCCCACGAAACACCTGCAGAATGCAGCACACACTCCCAAGACAATTAAATATATGCCCCCAAGAAGGAAAAATATATATAAAAATGTTAAGATTGCTTATAAATGTCTATCTATATAACATATTAACATGGGAAACAAAAATAGAATAAAGTCCTAACTATAGTTAGGATTTAATAATTCATGGTACTTAGCAAATAAACTTTCTTTTTTCCCCTTTGGTTTTTTGAGACAGGGTTTCTCTGTGTAGCTTTGCACCTTTCCTGGATCTCACTCTGTAGACCAGGCTGGCCCCGAACTCACAAAGATCCGCCTGCCTCCCGAGTGCTGGGATTAAAGGCGTGCGCCACCACCGCCTGGCACTTTTTTACATATTTCTTTGAAGAATATAAAAAAGGGCAAGACATACAAGAGTGACAGTCATCTTCAAGGTTTAGCACTGATTTGCATGGAAAACATCAAATATTTCAAGAAATGGGCATGTACGTACCCTGCTCATCAGAAAACACAGGGAAAAACAGGATTCAGACTTCAAGTATTTAAAGTATTTGCTAATTACCTGTATGTTTTCGAAGGTGCTCTTTAAAGTGTCCAAAGTGGTCAAACTGTTTGTCACAGTACTGGCATATGTGAATTTTTTTCCCAGTTCTTTGCTTCTTACTCACCCCACCTTCTTCAAGGTGGTAACAGCTGAGGTGCTGTTTCCACGCACTCTCTCGGAGATACCTTTTATTGCATATTTCACACTTGAAACTCTCAGTGGAGTGTGATTTCATGTGTTCCTTAAAATGGTAAAACAATTTAAACGAACGGTTACATTTCTCACAATGGAACAAGTCCTTCACATGTGACAGCTGAAGTTCCACAATTTCAATACCTTCTACCTGTTTGCTTATGGGGTCAGATGCACAGTCATCTTCACTAATCTGTCCTTTGCTTTCACCTTGGCGGTACTTGCTGGTAATGTCCGCCAACAGTGCTAGAGCGGACTCATCCGAGGAGCCTGTGCTCTGTATGTACTTTATCGACTGCTTAGCAGCAGCCACCTCCTCCAGAGGTTCCACACTTTCGTCTTCTACTTCAATTGTGCCTTCCGCAATCTCCACCTCAATCTCCACAGGTTCTGACTCTGCAGATGGCAGTGATTCAGTGATAACATTCGAAGTTTCTGCAATCTTTCTTTTTTTGGCCTCATTTTTTCCCGTGGTATTTTCCTCTAATGGAGCTGAGTTTTCTTTGTTCCTGAAATACATAAAGTAAGGGCTTTTAAAAAAAGAAAGAAAAAAAATTTTAAAAATAAAAATTTTAAAAAAACTATATAAAATCATAGAAGACTTCTTTGGAAAAAAATTAAATTTATATGGAAGGTAGAAAACAAAATTGGGCAGCCTATACTGATCAATTTCAAGACTTCCTAAAAGCTGTATTAAGTCCATGATACTGGTCAAAGTATAGATATGCACAGGTTAACAGAACAAAGTCCAAAAACAGACAAATATTTATGAAATTAACTTCTGGAAAAAAATTGTTCCAAGTAACTCAATGGTCAAAGACACTCTTTTAAAAGTGGTGGTGTTGGACTATCTGGTATGTATATTAGAAAATAAGCATCAACTTTTAAACTCGTACCATTTATAAACAATAACTCTAAAAGGATCACAGGTTAAAATGTAAGAACTAAAGTTACTGAATTTCTAGAAAACAAGGGAAAAAGTCTTAGCCACAGGCCCACCAACCTCTGCCTCCCCACTGCCAATCTCTATGTTATGTTAAAGTACATGAAAGCCTGAGATACAGTATTGTGACAACAGGACATCCAATGTCCAGGGTGTGCTCTTTAAAAAGAAACCACTGCAAATCAAACCTGTAACAAGCCAGAAGGCATCATCAATCTGTTATCCTAATCTAGAAAACAACATGGAGGGATGCTCAATCAGAAGCCCCCCAAAACCTGAAACAGACGATTTCAGGAGTATCCACCTTCCTGCTGACTGAGGTGTTTACATGGGCTGAAAACACCAATGGCTGGGCAAGGAACATGCAGCTTCTAGGATGCTTGAAACCGAATGAAAATGTGCCTTGCTTATGGCAGTCTGTCACCGTCCCCTCTGTCTCCACCTTCTCTCTTCCCCTCTATCCTGATTTCAGCTGCTTTAAGGAAAAACAAAATTCAAGGTGGAGCAAAAATCTCTTCACACACATGGAGACTAGTTGGAAGTTGGAAGGAACTCGGGCAAAGGGAGGCAGTCTCTAGTCAAAGATTTGCTGTTTTAGACTTAAGCCCCTAGTCACAGCTACAAGCTACAATTCCCCTGCAAAGAAGAAATTAGCATGCTGCTGGTCACATTAGGAAAGTGATACCCAACCTGTGGAAAGCTGAAGTCCTCCAGTCTGAAAGCCTCATTTCGTATTGACTCAACCAGACTTTGTGACTGATATGGTAAGAAGTGTCCAACAAGTCTCTTTGGTCAGTCAAGAAGAAATGCTTACTCTGACAAAGCAGTTGGCTTTCTGTTGCAGGTGCTCAGCCTCAACGGCATCTATGAAAGCCAAAATAGACAGAGCGACGACACTTGGTAGGCTGTCCTCATAGCTCTGGCCAACATTCCTCAGGACTTACCCTGCTGTATTTTTACTGACACACAGGCTGTTGCCAGTGCTTAACTATCTGGTGAGCTAACTTAAAAGGGACGGCCCACCGAAGACACCTACTTCCAAAGCTGCAATCACAGGGAACAGAGAGTGGTTTCGGAAACTTCCCGAGTTACTCATTTAGAGTTCCACAATAATGGCTGTCCTCTAATAAGGCTAACTGCCATCAGTTGGTGAAAGCAGCCTGTTACACAAGCAAGCCTGCTTTGCCCAGGCTGTCATTGTTACATCAAGAGCCAACACTCTGAATGCGTTAATACATTCATCGTCACAAACTGGCCTTCGTAAAAGACGCCCTTTCTGATGTAGACTTCATGCCTGACTTCTGCCACCTCCTAAGAGACTGTCATACTGTGAAGATGTATGTGGCTTCACACAGGATGCTGCTACTTACACACCGACACTGATCTGGGAGCTGTGTGGTGGCTTCACCCTAATCATCTTTTCGGGTTATTTATTCTTCTGCTGCTCCAGTCTGACCAGCTGCTTCAAGGCCTCAGGACTGTGGTCCATGAACATCATGTCTGGCTTCCTGGACTCGCTACAGGCTGAAAATGCTACTTTTTTTTTTTTTTTTTTTTTTTTTTTATAACAAAAGCACTACAGTCACTGGATAATGGGAAGGTATTGGTCTCATGCTTCCTACCTCCACAGACACTGATACGCAAACGGTTACAACAACCTCCTCAAACATTGATTCAAAAGGATTCCCCACTCTACTTCCCTCACCTCCTCCTTGTCCAAATATCTGAGTAAGGCAGGCTGGTCATCAAGGTCAGCTGTCCCCACAAAGGGGTCACCTCTTCTCAGCTGCTTCCTGAGTAATGAGGACGACAAAAAGGATGGGAAGCTTATGTAAACCTAATTAGAAAATGTAGGATTCTGCCCTGAATATTCTTTGACATCATTTTTTCCCCAATAGCAACTCTGGAACAAAGTAGGTATCTCTTTCAGGAGGTAGTCAAATATGGGCTTAAAGGATTAAAACTTGATCTAGTTTAGTCATCTGGATTCTCTTATTAGAATGACACCATCTTCTGTCATAATAAAACCCACTGGACCAAGCAGCTCATTTGTAATGGCATGCGTGAGGCCAAGTGGGAAAACATAACGGTTCTCTAAATTTTTATCTCAATAAAAATGCTCTTGAAACATTTCCTGTGCAAATTCTGGGTAGGAGCAGATGACTAAAGACTAGAAAAGAGTTAAGTTACAGCTGCTATACTAAGACATTAATTTTGGGGGTGGAGGGAAAGCAGGAATCCCAGGGCCTGGAGACAGTATTTTACATCCCAGGAGGTATGTGGGAGGTAGGACCATTAAATCTTTCAGAACCTGGGACCGAGACATGGACAACTGCCACTCAGTTGTTATTCAGGTGTCTGTGATCAATAAGAATGAATGACTAATCTGACTGATTGCCTTTTAGTCAGCCTTCCAAAAACTACAGCGAGAGTCAAACATTCTCTCTGAACTGCAGGCAATGTCAACCTGTGTCCCTAATGAAGGCGGCCTTCAATCTGTAAGTACAAGGTAGGCAGATGATGATTACTCAAATTCTGTTAATAGTAGTCTTAAATAAGCCTAACATGAGAAAAACTGAATGGATTAGGTAGGTCAATGTCCCTACTGGTAGATTATCAGAGTGACTAATGATAAAGAGTAATTATGAGGAAAATTACCAGAAGCCAAGATAATACAGAAACAAGAATATTATTGTGAAATAACTTTTCATGGATCTCTCTATAAACAAAGACACAGACAACTCTTTATTTTGGATCTGTTTAAAAGGTTGTTTATATATACAACAGTTTGAAAACAAAGTCTGTCCTGTTTCAGAGTGTAGGGTAGATAAAGATAACGTTTAACCACAGTATCAATGAATTTCAAAACTAATGAAATTAGGTAAGTGTGTACCTACCACATATGTATATAAAATTCTAGAAAATGTTAATGAGCTATGGTAGCAGTAGAGTGGTATGATCATTGAGACTGGGAAAGGAGGACTGGATTACAAATTGAAGACACAACAAAGTGCGCCATATTCATTAACTTGATAGTGATCATGGTTTTGAGTATGTTAAAACTGCATACTTTAAAATATTTACTTACGCGGCAGAGAGATGACTCAGCGGTTAAGAGCACTGACTGCTTTCCCAGAGGACCCGTGTTCAATTCCCAGCACCTACATGACAGCTCACAACTGTCTGTAACTAATTCCAGGGGATCTGACACCCTCACATAGACATACATGCAGGCAAAAACACTAACACACATAAAAATAAAAAATAAAAAAACAACAAAATTTACTTACAGTTTTTATTACATGTATTCATTTCATTTTATGTAATATTTTGCCTACATGTATGTATGTATACCATATGTATGCAGTGTTTGCACAGGTCAGAAGAGGGAAACATATCTCCTGAAATGTTGTTCCTAGAATGTTCCTGGAATGAAAGGGATGGTTGTGAACGTGGGTGCTGGGCACTGAACCCAGATGCTCTGCAAGAGCAGCAAGTGCTCTTAATCACTGAGCCATTTCTCTAGGCCCTAAATCTTTCCTTTTTATATTTTATGTGTTGTCTACATTTATGTCTGTGTGCCACACATGCCTGGCTTGTGTCCACAGAAGCCAGAAGAGGGCATCAGACACCCTGGAACTTGAGTTACAAATGAGTGTGAGTCACCATGTAGGTGCTAGGAATCAAACCTGGGTCCTTTGGAAAAACTCAGTGCTCTTGACCTTCAGTCACCTCTCCAGTACCTTCAAACTACATGCTTTAAATAAGGTTTAATATTTAAAGAAGTAGCAAAACTTCAAAACCAGGGCTAATGAGATGGCTCAACTGGTTAAGGGGTGCTTGCTGCCAAACCTGATGACCTGAGTTTCAGCCCCAGGACCCACACAAGCAAAGAAACAGCCATCTACTCCATTTGTGCTGTGGCACATGCATACCCACATACACACAAACGTAATTAATCAATGTGGTAACTAAAAAGTTCTAAAAACATTCAAACCACAGAACTTATACACATTCATACTCTTTCAGAGGCGTTAGCAAGCTCTGACCTAAGTACAACTAACGTAAGCAAGGCTTTATTAAAACAGCCACCTCGTTCATTTACATACTTCATGCATAACACAGTATAAGATATTAATTATTTTTCTCTAAAAATGTTTGTCAGAAGCAGGGCGGTGGTGGCGCACGCCTTTAATCCCAGCACTCGGGAGGCAGAGCCACGTGGATCTCTGTGAGTTCGAGGCCAGCCTGGTCTACGGAGCGAGATCCAGGAAAGGCGCAAAGCTACACAGAGAAACCCTGTCTCAGAAAAAAAAAAGGAGTTTGCCGGGCTGGCAAGATGGCTTAGTGGATAAAGGCACTTGCTGGGCAAGCCTGAGGACCTCAGTTTGATCCCCAGAACCCCCATGTAAAGATGGAGAGAGAAAATCAACTCCACAACGTTGTCCTCTGACCTGTCAGAGGCTCGGAGGGTTAAGAGAATTTGCCATCAAACCTGACCACCTGAGCCTGATCCTGGGAATGCGTATGATAAAAGGAGAGAACAGACTCCTGCAAGCTGCCCTC